GCCTGGAACAGAGCTTGGCATGCAGTAGGCACTCAATAAATGTTTGTTAAATGATGGAGCAGGGCGGGTCCCTGCCCTCACAGAGCTATCAGTCTGGGGGATGCAACAAACAAGTAAGTGAAGAAGCAGATCACATGAGTTCTAGGAGCAAGATGCCCTAAGAAGGGAAGTAAAGTGTGCCAGGCAGAGGGCACAGCCCGTGCAAAGGTTCTGGGGCAGGACGGGCCTGGCGTGTTGGAGGAACAGCGAGGAGCCCGTGTGGCTGGAGCAGAGGGAGCGAGGGGGAGAGAGGGAGGAGGGAGGGCGGGGAGGGGACGGGGCAGGTCGTGCGGGGCCTGGGGGGCCACAGGGAGGACGTGGGCTTCTCCCCCGAGGGAGGGGGAGCCCTGGAGGGCGGTGGGCAGAGGAGGGGGGCCCTGACTCAGGGCTCACAGGCGCCCTCTGGCGGGGGCTGGGGGGAGGACGGACTGTGTGTGGAGGAGATGTGGGCGGGGAGGAGAGGAGGGGAGTGGAGCACACCCGGCTCTGCCTCCCCCTTCAGACCATGCACGCTCACAGGCCTGCATGCCGGGCGGGCAGGGGGCTCTCACCGGCTCCAGGGTCTCCTGCAGCTGAGCCAGCGTGTCCTGGGCATTGTGCTTCCGCTGCCTCAGTTTCCCCAGAGAGTGATCGTAGGCCAGGTGGCGGAGCCGCGCCGACAGCGAGCCCAGGCGCACGAAGTAGCCCTGGTGTTCCCTCTGCTTTTCCACCGAGCCCACATCCGGGCCCTCGGCCTTGGCTGCCAGCGCCGCTGGACAACAGGACGGGGATGGGGGTGTCGGTACGGCCACCCCCTCCTCATCGGCTCCCCCTCCTTCCAGTCGACCAGCCCGCAGGCTCCCAAATTTAGTTTCCCTTTAGAAACATCGGCTCAGCTAACCTTCCACAAACCCTACAATATGGGCGCTGTTATCAGCCCATTTTACAGATGGGGTAAACTGAGGCAAAGAGCGGCAAAGACCCACAGCAAGCAAGAGGCAGACCTGGGTTCGAACCCAGGCGCCCTGTCTCCGGACTTTTCTTAGCCACTCTACAAACTGCCTCTTAGAGAATGTATCACAAGTGCCCGGCACACAGTAGGTGCTCCATAAATGCCCCACAGCCCTCCTGCTGATCTGCTGTGTGGCCTTGGGCGAGTCCCGGACCTCTCTGATCTGTACCCTCCAGGGACGAGGACCGGGCAGGCGGACGCAGGGGCGGGGAGGCGAGGGCGCCGGCCTCACCCAGCTCCTCCTCGCTCATGGGCAGGAAGTGGTCCACCAGCTCCTCCGACTTGCCCAGCACGACGTCCACGGCGTGGCCCACAGAGCGCGTCAGCTCCACGCTCCAGCGGCCGCCCTGCCGGGCCAGGCCCACCACGCCCGTCACGCCGCTGGCCACCGTGTCCTTGGCCGAGGTCACCACCTGGCAGGAGGGCCGTTGGTCTCTGGCTCCCTTCCCCAGGTCCCCCAGCTCCCCGGGGCTGGATCCCGGGCCCCTTCCTGGGTCTGCGCCTCAGTTTCTCCTCGCCCTCACCTCCTGGCACATATTAAGTGCTCAATAAATGTGGGTGCCGATTATTTTAATCTGGCTGGTGGCTGTTGAGTTGACAAAAGCTGGCCCAGACGCCCAGGCTGGGTCGGGGACGAGGCGGCCTCTTCCCTCCTGCTGCCCCCCGCAGGTCCCCACAGTCAGGTCCTGCCGGTACCGTCTCCGAAGGCTGCTGGAGAAAAGGCAGCTTCTCCTCCAGTGTGTCCAGGCCCCTGCAGGCGAGGTCATTCACGGTGGCCACTGGACAAAGAGAGGCAGGGATGAGAATCGGGGAGACGTCGAGAGAAGTAGGGACACAGAGAGGGTTATAGAGGGAGGGGGTGCTGGAGAGAGAGGCAGAGGAAAAAGAGAGGGAGACAGAGAGAGAAGGAAGCCCAGACCACAGCGGGGACCCTGCTGGCCCCCTGGGAGGGGCTGGGGACCCTGAGGGTGAGGGGGGGCCACCAGGCAGGGCCCCACCTCCTGTGCCCTCCCTGCCTCTGCCCTGCCACCCGGCTGCTGCCAGCACCAAGGTGACTCCTCACCCGTGCCCGGCTCAGATGGCCCAGCGAGCAGGCTCAAGGTCATGCAAGCCGGCCGAGAGGCTGGGGGGGCACTGGCCTGGGACCCCTGAGCTGGCCACGGGTCCAGGGAGATGCGAGCTCAGGGACAGAAGGGCAGACGGGGGAGGGAGGCTGGACCGGCAAAGAGCCCAAGGCGTGTCAGGCCAGGCATCAAACTCCAGAGGGACATAATGAGAGAGAGGGGAGGATGGCACGGGCGCGTGGGGGACAGGCAGACCGAAGGCGCGCAGACTGGGAAGACGCCCAGCGCGGGGGTCCCGCGGGGCACGTGGCGCGCGTGGAGCAGGGGAGGCCGGGGCGCGGCGGCCACTCACGCTGGGGCTGCAGGCGGCTGAGCAGCGGCTGGGCGCGGTCCAGGGCCCGGGTGGCCAGGCCGCGCACGTGGCCTCGACCAGCGGCAGGGCCACCACGCGCCGCACCACGCTCTGCGGGAAGGGGCGGCGTCAGAGGGGCCCGGGGGGTGGGGGGCCTCGGCCACATGTTAGCCCGGGACGAGGGGGGAGAGGGGTCCAGAATGCCCCCCGAGGGAGGCGCTGGAAGCAAGGATGGAGGCCAGAGGGGGTCCACCCTTCCCCGTGCCCCTCACCTGCTGGTCCTGCTCCCACGGGCTGGGGCTGGGGGCCTCAGCCGCCTCATCTTCTGACATGCCTGCTGCCAACGGGGTCACCCTGGGGGGCAGGACAGAGTGAGGGGGGCCCCTGCACGCCGCCCCTCGCGGCTCCCGGGTTCTGTCTGGCTGGGCTCTGTGACTTGGGCAAGCCTCTTTCCCTCTTGGGGCCTCAGTTTCCTCATCTGCAAAATGGGGCAATGATAATACCTACCTCGGAGCGTCGTGAGGGGCACGGACATGCACGCACAGGGCTCGGCACACAGCAGGTGCACACTCAAGAGCGTCTGGCAAGGTGGGGGCACTGTCGTGATTCAAAGCCTGGGCTCTGGGGAGAGAAAGACCTGGGTTCGAATCCTGCTGTGTGACTTTGGGCAAGTGCCTTTACCTCTCTGGGCTGTTTCCTCTTCTGTAAATGCAGGAGGTCCCAGCCGCCCCTGCCCCAGACAGAACCGCACAAGTAGCCCCCTGCGGGGGTGCAGGTCGTAGCTGCGGAATCCCCATACACCCATAGTCCGTTTAACAGACAGGGAAACTGAGGCACGCAGCGGCTCCAGGCTGGGCCCAAGGTCACTCAGCTAAGCAGGATCAGATCGGGGAGCTGGACCTCAGACGCCCCGCCTGCACTTCTTCCCTTGTCCCCACTCCGCACCCTCAGAGCCCTGATCCCCGCCCAGCTGGGTCCTGAACTTCGGCCAACTGGGCCAAGGGTCTCGGCCACCTGCTCTGGCCCGTCAGCCCCTTCCCTCCCCACGCCGCTGGACCCTGTCCCCCAACCCGATCGGGGGCCCCCGGGCCTGCGGGGCGCTCACTCACCTGCGCGCGCGCAGCCTCGGCCCCTACGTGCCACCGCGGACCCCAGACTCCGGCTGGAGTCTCCGGCCCCCGCGTGCTCACCCGCCTTATAGCGGCTCGGGGGCGGGGCCTCCGGGGACCGACCAATGGGGAGAGGCCTGCGGGGCGGGGCCCGGGGCGTGGCTCCAGGCCCCCTCGCCCTTCCCTGGGGCTCCCGGAGCGCGCTGCGGTCGCCACAGCAACCTGGGGACGCTGGATGCTCCAGGATTGCGCTCCTTTCGCTGGCCGGGTTTGGCCACCTGTCACCCTCAGTGCTGTCGCCGCAGAGACAGTGGAGGGCCATCACAGCCCCCACCGCCTCGCCGAGTGACCTTGGGCAAGTCCTCAAGGTCTTTCTTTTTATTTTTTTCCGTCTGCCATTTAACTAAGCCAGGAGCTGGCCTGGCCCATTCCCTCGGATCCCCATTTCACAGATGAGCAAATTGAGGCTCAGAATGCTTAAACCAGATCCGATTCAAACCCAGCTCTGCCGGGCTGCAGATCCCTGGCTTTGATCACCATGCCTGGAATGACCACCACCGTCGGCAGGAGCCTCCTTCTGGGGAGCTGAAAAAACCGACCATGCCACAGACACCCCGGGGTCCCCCAAATCTGACCTCGGCCCCCAGCACGCCCTACAGTGTGTCGGCAGGTGGCCCCAGGTTCTGAGTTGCGAGAACTCAGCCCCCTGGGCCTCTGCCCATCTGTCCAGCCCCATCCAGCCTGCCCATGCCTGCCCTGGGTGGCCGTCCACTGCGTTATCACCGGCCAGCCTGACAAATTCTTTGGAGACGTGAAGCAATCCGGTTTAATGTAAACCTTCCCCAGGACAAGCTCTGGCAGGAATTCACTTGTAAAATGACACCAGGGCAACGGTCAGGGTTTTATTTCCAGTTAAGTCCCGAGATGGGGGAGGGGGAGTAGAAGCGATGGGCCATCAGGTCCCCTGGGTCACCCCTCTTCTTTCCTCCTCCTTCGTCCTGGAGACCTGGGACGGTGAGTTGGGAGATGCAAAGACACAGGAATGCCAAGTCATCCCGTTCCACTCAGCAGCTGTTTCATTAAGCCCCTCGGGTCTGACCCCAGACTGAGCGATGCTGGGTAACAGGACACTCAGCCCCAGGCCCCGGACTCAGAGAGCCCTGCAAACTGGGGGCGGCAGAGCCAGAGAGAGACAACCCGGGGCGGCCAAGGCTGGGTCAGAGGGAGGCCGAGCGGGCCGAGGGAGCCCCGAGACCAAGAGATCTGGGAGACGGGGGAAAGATATTCCTGGAAGAGGGTACAGCTCCAGCAAAGACGAGGAAAATGAGAGCCCACGGTGTGTTTTGGGAAGCCTGGGCGAAACAGGTCCCAGCCATTATGGAAAAGCCTGATCCTTAGAAGCTGGAGTAATTTGCTAAGTGGGGTGCAGTGTTCTGCCAGGCCCTGTCCCCTCACCTCCCGCCCAGGCCTCAATGGGACTCGGCCACCGCCAGGAGCGTCCAGCCCTTCAAGGCAGCAGGGGCAGCACAGCGCGTGTCATTCCGGAAGAACATCTTATCTTTATTGTCCACAAGCCACCGAAAGAGGTCGCGCAGGTTTCCGTCACAGATCCAGGGGTTCTGGGAGAGGTCGAAGCCGTCCTGTAGGTCCCGGGTGGGCCGCCCCAGGCCCGCCCAGAGCCCCTTGGGCACGCTGCTCAGCGAGTTGTTGGAGAGGTCCAGGAAGTCCAGCCACCGCAGCCCCCGGAAGGCGTTGGCTGCCACCTTGGCTAGCTGGTTGTCACTCAGGAAGAGGTGGCGCAGGTCCTTTTGGGGCGCCAGGAGGTCGTCCTCCAGTGCCCGCAGTCTGTTCCCCTCCAGGTGCAGCCGTTCCAGCTGCTGGGGTCCCCGCAGAAGGTCAGGGGGCAAAGTCTCCAGCCGGTTATTGCTAAGGTCGAGGACACGCAGGTCGGTGAGGTTAGCCAGCAGCCCAGCGGGCAGCGTCCGCAGGCGGTTCTCGGACAGGTCCAGATGTTCCAGGGCTTGTAGGCCGTGCAGACACGAGGCCTCCAGGACGTGGAGCCGGTTTTCCTTCAGCACCAGGGTGCGGAGGGCGGCCGAGCCCCGGAAGAGCCCGCGCGGCAGCCGGCTCAGCGCGTTTCTGGTCAGATCCAGCACCTTCAGCTGAGGCACTGGCAGCAGGAACTCAGCCGAGAGGTTCTCCAGCCGGTTGCTGGAAAGATGCAGCTCCTGGAGTTTGGGGGTGCCCCGGAGGATGTCGGCTGGAAGCTGGGTGAGGTTGAAGAACTCCACGGCCAGGTGGACGGTGTCGGTCGGGAGGCGGCGGGGAATCTCGGCAGGTGGGTGGCAGTTAACGGTGGTGCCCTTGACCGACTGGAACACCAGGCAGGCATTGGGGTTTGGGGGGTCCCCCTGGGCCGAGGCCACAGATAACAGCAGCAGTAACAGAGTTCTAGAAAGATGGGGGTTCAGGCCCCCTGGGCTGCAGGTAACGACAAAAGTGCTTAATAAGCCAAAATGGAGACATACTCAGCTAGGTGAAATTATCCCCAGAATCTGCCTACTTTTTCCCGTGTTTACTTCCCCCACCCTGGACCATGCCACCTTGTTGCTCGCAGTCACCTCCTCCTCTTCTCCTGGTTTGCACCCTCACCCCTCCAGGGAGAATTCTATTTCTCTGAAACTCGAGTTTCTTAGTCTGACCCCTAAATGCTACTCTTCCCCATTGCCAGCCCAGCCCTAATGGGCTGTTACTTATTCGGAGTCCAATTTGCTAACTTCTAGCTTGTTTTCTGGGTCATTTCTTATCTCCCTGGCTCCATGTTTTGAAGGCAGAGGCAGTGAACTCCTACTCATCCTGCAAAGCCCTATTGGCAATGCTCCCTTTTCTATGAAGCTTTCTCTGACCTTCCCAAGCAGAGCTCTCAGTTTCCCCCTCTGGGCTCCTCCTCTTTCCATCCAGCCCTGAACAAACCAGGTTAGGTAACCTGTGTCCAGCTCCATCTTGCTCCAAAGCACTCGGGTGCAACCCAGGGCTCCAGGTGCAACCGGGATTCTTGTAGTGCATCCTGCTTTGCACAGGTCTGGGGGCGGGCGTTTGGCCTTGGGCTGGGGTAGTTGACAGTGGCACAGTAACCCTTGGAGGCCTCCTCTGGGTCCCTTTAGGAGGCCTGTGATGGGGGGATGGGTTCCCACTCCCCGCCTGGCCTGTGGCCCACTTGTGTGTGGCAGCGGGTCTGTCATAGTTAAAGCCTGAAGGTGGGTCTGTTCCAGCCTGCAGACCTGCATCTGGCCATGTGACCTCAGTGCGTCAGACAGAATGCGTATTCCTGTGCTGCCTGGTGTTCAGGCCTGCCTAGAATGGGTGGGGTGGGGACCTACCTCTGGTTTTGCTCTTGGCTCCAAGAGGACATGGTGGCCTCTTTCTGTCCCATCCAGGTTCCCTTGGCCTGGTGAGGTGGCCTTATACCTGCCTGGGCTGGGGACAGCCACACCAACCCTAGGGAAGTCCCCACCCACATCCTGTTCCCGTTAGGGGCTGGACCTGAGCCAGGCAAGGGAAAGGAGGGGCAGGATTGCAAAATTGCTTCCTGGCAGGAGAAGGGCAGCAGCGGGGAGGAAGGGTCCACCCCTTTCTTGGCCCAGCTTCTGCCCAGTTTTTCCTTCCCCTAATTCCTGCTTTTGGGGAACGGGCACCCAGGAGTCTCTGGGGCTGAGTCCCCACTTCCCCCAACCCAGAAGTCAAGGGTCAAGTTTGCAGGGAGCCAGTCTTGGGGGACGGGACAGCTCTTTGAGAAAGAGATACTATTTACAATAAATCTGAGCAACAAGGAAGCTCGGTAAAAAGAACAAAAAAACACTTGTCTTGAATTCATGACATATTATTGTTGGTTTATTTTTTTTAATTAAATAATTTTTTAACAAATAGAATTCAAAAGTGGGTGATGTCAGAAGTCTCCACGGTCTTTGAACAATGGCTTGGGAAGGGCTAGACCTGGCTCTGAATCCCAGCTCTGCCAGGAACTGCCTTGCTTTGTGACCTTGGGCGGGTGGCTTAACTTTCCTTGGCCTCAGTTTCCCCATCTGTGAAGTTGAGCTCAGTGTCCGAGGGCCCCTTCTGCTCTTTTTTCCTCTGAAGCTGAGGTGCTATTTGTTTGGGATCTTTCTCACTTCCTAATAAATGCATCTGGAGGCTATAAATTTCCCTCTGAGAACTGCTTTGGCTGCATCTCACGGGTTTGGCTATTCAGTACTTTCATTCTTGTTGAGTTTTAAACATGCCGGTGTGATGTGTATCTTGACATGCACCCAGGACTTTTTTCAGGCCTGGCCATGGCCTCTTCTCCTCAGCCCAATCTCTGAAGGAATTTGTCTCTATTCTGTCTTAGGGGACACACAGCTTCAGAGACAACGCACAGGCTGCCCTAGACAGGCACAGATAAAGACAGACAGACAGACACTCACATGGATCCACAGATATAGATACTGACACAGAGACAGGCGGAAATACGTAGACAGAACCAGAGACATAGACAGAGCAGGAGAGAATGACAGACCTGCAGAGACGGACACACAAAAACGGGCAGAGGACCTGAATAGACATTTTTCCAAAGAAGACATACAGATGGACAACAGGCACATGAAAAGATGCTCAACATCACTACTCATCGGGGAAATGCAAATCAAAACATGAGATATCCCCTCACACCTGTTAGAATGGCTCTCATCCAAAAGGCAAGAGATGGGG